TGCTTTTGAAATTACATTGAGAGATATAGGACTGATAAGTAAACAGTTCCGAAGAAACCTGTCTATATCAACTTGCCGTTCAAAGGAGATGATGTACAGGAAGTAGTCAAACGAAGACTCGACAAAGCCATCAAGAGAACTTATTATTACTGCAAAACTTGTTTTCCTTAACACCACTAAGCGAGTGCTTCAACAATCTGGGAAAGACTAGTACTCGCCAATCCTCAACACTTCAAACTGTGTTTGTGGAAGCAAATACATAGGTCGTACGGAAAGGAGATTGTCTACTCGCATGATGGAGCATTTGCCAAATCCTCAATAACAAAGCATCTTGTGGATTACGGGCATGATATCGACGCAGTCAAGTCATTCACTATTGTCAGCAGACAAAGAAACAAGAAGATGCTTGCAATTGCAGAGGCTTGTGCAATTCGAGTTTACAAACCAGGTCTCTGTGTACAAAAGGAGATGGTCGTGACTCTGAATCTACCATGGTAATACATTTTACTTATTATTCTACCTATTATTTTTATTTTATTATTACTATTATTATTCTCATTATTATTATTCTTGATTCATTTAAAACTATCCTTTATCAGTAGGATTATCTTAACCCACTTGAACACTATTATTATTATTGTTATTATAACTATTACTATTGACATCCCTCTGGTTGCAATTCTTGTTAAATTCTCTAATGTCTAATTGTTTATCTAAGTGATGTAATTGAAGCGTAATGCAATTTATCTTAATTTTGATCTTCCATACTCTCTCTCCCCTTATCTAATTGAACATGACCTGGAAAAACATTCGCACCTGTCTTTCTGCATGACTAATTCAATGTAGTTTATTTACTACTTATCAGTCCTATATCTCCCAATGTGATTTCAAAAGTATATATATCCGTGTATGTAGAGTATTCAGCTGACGAGTTCTACAGAAATTTGATGAATTCATTAAATCCTGCTTTATTAACCTTTATTGCTTGTTTTAAAACAATAAGACAGAATTTTGCCGTATGAGTTCAAGTTACTGCATTTCATAAGTAACTTTATTATTATTAATACTGTCCTTTTGGGTTCCAAGTGGAAAATAGGATTGCAACAGCATATCTCCAACTCATTCTATTCTCTAAGATCCTCTTCACCTAGCTCAACGACAGTCCATAATCTCTCACCACCTCCCAAAACGATTTAATCCATGTCACACTAGGACACACGTCCATCTCGTCGTTTCCCATTCGGGTCCCAGTTTAGGCTCTGTCTGGAGCACGATGTCACGAGATGGTCTCCTCAGTGGTGTGTGTCCCATCCGTCTCCATTTTCTTCTGCGTATTTGTCGAGCAATAGATTCTCGGTTGATTCGCGCCGTCCCCCACCATTTCCTTGTTGTTAATTCCTTCTCACCAGCCAGCCAGCCACCTAATCTTCAACATGGAGACAGTGAAGGGGACAGCTGTTGATAAAAGTCTGTAGTGGCCTGTCAGAATTAATTTTCGTGACGTGCCCACCATGTTTCAAACGCATATAGAAGGAATGACTTGACTGACTTCACATTTGTGTTGAACAGAATCCGAATCTTGTTATTTATACTTCGGTGGAGTGCAGAAGATTTTCCAAACTGATTTTTGATTGGTGGTGTACCTTGCACTTCCGATTCTGGTTTTGATAACATCTATTCTGCCTGTGATATTCAAAAATGTAAAATGGATTCCATATTTGATCTTTCAGTATTATTCAGATTATCAGTGAAAGAATGTTTGACTGATTTTTTCAAACATTTTAAGCGCCAATTACAATATAAGGGTAATACAGTCGTCTTAAACTATGTACATGATAATCGCTGAACTTCTGTTATTGATTAGTAGCATTATGAACAGTACAGTATATTATTTTTATCTGAAAGCATCGTTGAAGCATCTATTACAGTAGATAACTTCTCAAAACAGGACAAATATTTTTGACCAGTCGACACAGGAAGTGCAAAACTTCACTTAAACAAATAAGAATTTGGTTACAGGATTTCATCATGAGCTGACATCAGTTAGAGAACCATTGGAAAACCTGGGAGTACTGGACAGCTGTTTCGTCCTAGTTTGGGACTCTTCAGAAGTAAGCACCCACCGGGGTTCGAACCCAGGACCTTCTAGTTACAAAGTGAGCTCATATACCATTACGCCACCGGGACCCGATCCAATGGCACATGAATTCTAACTTCTGCCAATTCACGACATAGCGCGACCCCTAGCCAATGTCTTCGGCGAGTATTTGTCCTCACGCCCGACCTGCTGCATCGTACTGGTCACGACTTCTCACTAGAACCTCATGTGACTACCCACCTGAATAGGGCAAGTCGCTAGTGAGCTAGTGGGGTTCTAGTGAGAAGTCGTGACCAGTACGATGCAGCAGGTCGGGCGTGAGGACAAATACTCGCCGAAGACATTGGCTAGGGGTCGCGCTATGTCGTGAATTGGCAGAAGTTAGAATTCATGTGCCATTGGATCGGGTCCCAGTGGCTTAATGGTATATGAGCTCACCTTGTAACCAGAAGGTCCTGGGTTCGAATCCCGGTGGGTGCTTACTTCTGAAGAGTCCCAAACTAGGACGAAACAGCTGTCCAGTACTCCCAGGTTTTCCAATGGTTCTCTAACTGATGTCAGCTCATGATGAAATCCTGTAACCAATCAAATCCCTACAAACCAACACTTGAAAATAAGAATTTATACCCACCTCACTTCCCTACAGAATGGTGGTCTGGCATTTGATGAGACGACGAATGCAATCCTTGAGTCTCAGAGAATGGATGTTCACTAACATGGAATGCAAGCACGCCATCCAGTTGACAAGTCGAAAATTAGACTGTGTGAAATTTTCAAGCATCGCTGAAGTGTCTATACTTGGAGCCAACTTATCAAAGGACATACTAGGTATTTTGATTCAATGTAATCTCAATTAACGAAAAATTTGAAATAACTTCAGTAATGTGAACGTTTTTTACCAACTCTATAATGTGATGATTTATTCTCAATGATTGATCATAAGGTGTTTGGTATGGTGATGTTTTGATTTGACACTAGTAACTAGTGTGATGCGTATAGTCCTCTCTTTGGTGCAGACTGAATTCTATCAGTCAGGTTGTGCAATGTGGCCACCATCCTGCCGATTGCCTCCAACCATCTAATATCATCACAAACAATGGTGATGTTTTACTTAGGAGTTGTACGTCTTAAAATGAGGGAGTAACCCAAATGAAATATTTCATTATGTGGAATGATTTCATGAGGACTTTAAAAATTACTCTATAATCCATATTCTAGAGATGTGTTAGCATTTGGCACAATGAAGTTGACGATCATTGTTTCATGATTTTTCTCTCTTCCTTGGACTGAATAGAGCTCAGATGTAATGTTTGATAGTCGTATGCAGTCAGCAGGATGCCGTAGACTCAGACTACAAGCTTGCTGGTACTCTTCACCATGACGTATCAGCAGTATCGATGGGATTGGTGTCCCCTATGAGATTTCAAATACCCTCAACCAGTATTGTAATCAGGAGATTTGTTACTGATCTATTTGGCATCGCTGCTGTTGGCCTCCTGTGGGACAGTAATCGAGACAAACCTTCATCGCTCTGAAATCAGTTTGGAAATCTTCTGCACTCCAATGAAGTCTACATAAAAAGATTCGGATTCTGTTCAACACAAATGTAAAATCAGTCAGTCATTCCTTCTATATGGGTTTGAAACATGGTGGGGCGCATCACGAAAAAGTACCTCCGACAAGCCACTACAGACGTTTATCGACAGCTGTCCCCTTCACTGTCTCCATGTTGAAGATTAGGTGGCTGGCTGGCTGGTGAGAAGGAATTAACAACAAGGAAATGGTGGAGGGCGGCGCGAATCAACCGGTAATCTATTGCTCGACAAATACGCAGAAGAAAATGGAGATGGATGGGACACAAGTCACTTATGAGACCATCTCGTAACATCGTGCACTAGTCAAAGTCTCGATTGGGACTCGAATTGGCAACTACGAGTTCGGTGTGTGTCCGAGTGTGACATGGAGGAGATCGTTTTGAGAGGAGGTGGGTGATTTTGAGCAATCATTCGGCTAGGTGAAGAGGATCTTAGAGAATAGAATGAAGTGGAGATATGCTGTCGTAGTGCTATTTAGTCCTCGTAACCCAAGGGAACAATAATAATAATATGCTAATAATATAGAACAGTAATGAATGCATTGATTAGTAATCAGGAAGTAACCGAAGTCATGTGCAAAATCTTGACTGCTACCATTCAATCGGCATCACCATCAAGAACTAGATGCATGGCAGGGATTATCTGCTAGTTACCAGTTCACGTTATTTTAAGATTACTATGGTAGGTAGCCTTGCCTTACTCCTATCTGCTTTAATTCATACGCTTTTTGTCGGGCTTTCCTTTTCTTCATAAGCTGACGTCGGCTAGTAAACCACTGAAAAACCATCATTGGAATACTGGATAACTGTTTCACCCTTGTTTATGACCCTTCACCAGTACTCAATCACAATTTCCCACTAAAAACCAGGTAACTATCCACCTGAGCCGTGACCAGTGGGGTACAGCAGGTAGGATGTGAGGACAAATACTCGCCAGCGATGACATACTGGCTGGTGCCAGTAGCATTATGTCGTGCCTGAAATCGTAGAAGTTGGAATTCATGGGCTGGTAGCCACTGGAGATTCAAGTCCCACTGGCTTAATGGTCTAAGAGCTCACCTTGTAACCGGAAGGTCTTGGGTTCGAACCCTAGCTGTGGGATGGATGCGTATTACACATGAGTCCTAGACTAGGCTGACGACACAGCTGGCTGTTAAGTACTCTTGATGGTGTTCCAATAGTCCTCTTACTGATGTCAATTCATGATGAAATCCTGTAACCAATCATATCTCTGCAAGCCAACACCCGGATGTTCATTCAGTCAAAATCAATACTTTACTTCATTACTATCATTATTCTTTTTTACAGAGTGCAATCTACACGGAACTTTGAATGGTATTGACAATTCTAATATTGACATACCAAGAGATTCTAAAGAAACACTAAAATGTGGATTATTACCAAGCAATGTAGAGGATCAATTAAACGGTACCTGGTATGGTCGTATAATTAGTACAGAACCGCAAAAGGCCAGTATAATTCATCAATTCATTACAAGCAATTGTTAAACCACCTAACGGTTATTCTATTTACAAATTTCGTGGTCAATGTATAGTTGAGTGTATTTTTGCAAATCGTTATGATAATACGACTATATTTACTTTTAAAAAGACAATAAGAATTCAAGGTAAGCTAATTTCTCTCCTGTCTTCATATTTTTCTCTTTTTTTGTAATCATTCTAACTTTTAAATTGATTAGTTAACTATATACTACTAAATTAAGTGAAATGAGTAGTAGTTGCATACCATTCATATCAACCAGTAGTGCTTGCTAGCCAATCAGATAGAGGTGATCTAAACACCAGACGGCCATTTCTCCTGTTTATGGCTGAGCTCATCAGTAGTGTACCTGGTATAACTGAGCTCAGGCAGCCAAAGCAATTCATTCACGAGCTGACATAAGTTAGAGAACCACTGGAAAACCCATGGGGGTACTGGATAGCTGTTTCGTTCTAGTTTTGGGACTCTTCAGCGGCGGGCGCGTGCTGATGAAGAGTCCCAAAACTAGGCTGACAAAACAGCTGTCCAGTACTCCCAGGTTTTCCAGTGGTTCTCTAACTGATGTCAGTACATGATGAAATCCTCCAAGCAACCAAATACAAAATCCCTACAAAACCAATACTTGACAATTCATTCACCTTATTTCTGGCTCGCCAGATACTCGGGTAAACTTGTGACCGCTTAAATCAAATCAACAATTTGTGAAATACACAGTTCGCGGTGATTAATTGATCACAGTTTCTTTCTGGAAGTGAGATAATTCAGACCAAAGTATGTGATCTCTTTAATTATATGAATGAGTAGTTAGATAACACTCCTATCAACCAGTAATGCCTGCTAGCCAGTTTGACGTTATCCAAACGCTAGACAACTGATTCAGTCGGCTGAGATGAAGCTCATCACTGGTGTACCAGGTTTGAAACGACTTAGATGGCTGAATCAGTTTAAAACCAGCCGAATTGTGACTAGCTACTTGTGTGGTGAGAGCTGTCTGCTAGCCGAAATTGGTAGACAGCAATTCACATCAATGTTTTACGTCCCATATCTTGGTCATGAGAAAAGAACAACAACAAAGACTTCTTGCGTGGGCGGATACGATTCGCAGATATACGGTTTGACCTTTAAAGAACTGGCCAGAAAGAGATGATGGATTAACTGCCAGTGAGAAAACAACAACCAATCAGAAGACGCTGTTTCTCTGTTAATAATAACGAATAATAATGTACATAAAATAATATATATATATATAAATATCTGTTGATTTTCTCAATAAACGATCTGTTGCCTGGTCCTTGTCTTCTGTCATTTACACTTGGACAAATCGGTAACATAAGAAAAAGATGGAAACAGCGAAGAAAATTTTCTTTTGGACGATTTATTTTCATAAGCAATACAATCGTAATTATATATTTAACAGTCCTCGAAACCTTCTACACGGCTCACCGCATCAATGAAATCCCCCCCCCACAGAACGTGAATCAAACATGCCATTTCTATTCCTGGATGTATTATTATTGTTATTATTGTTTCCTTTAATTCCTAGAGGAACATGGGGCTTCAGCCGTGCATCTCCATTGCGTTCGGTTCTCTGCTAGTCTTCACCTGGCTACAAGTCTGCCCACACCCTTTCATCTCCTCTTCACATGACCTCCTCCAAGTCACCCTTGCATTGACAACCAACTCGCCGCTTCCCTTTCGGGTTCCACTCGAGCAATGGATTGTCTAGTGATGTCACTCACTTGATGGTTTCCTCAGAGTATGGCCAATCCATCTCCATTTCTTCCTGCCTATTTGTTTCACGATTGGTTCCTGCTGGTTTGGTTCGCTCCCAGAGATCTCTGTTGCTGATCTTCTCTGGCCATCTGATCTTGAGTGGTATTGAGCGAAGACAACTGTTAATGAAGGTTTGTAGTTTAAGTGAGATGCTGTTTTTGACGCGCAGTGCAAGTCTCTGATCCGTATAGTAAGTAGCATTGACTTCACATTGGAGTTGAAAATCAGGATCTTATTTTTGATGCTGAGTGCTGTTGACCTCCACACAGACTTGAGAGTAGTGAAAGCTTGTCTTGCTTTCCCGATTCTTGCCTTGATATCCTCGTCAGTCCCATCAGCCTGTAGTTGAAACGATGCTTCCCAGGTCGGTGGGTGAAGGAGGTCGTTTCTTTCAGGTTCCTCCCATTTATGCTGATCGTTGTCTGTTGTTGTTGTTGCTGTTGGTGGTGTTGCCCAGGAATCTTCATCACCTCTGTTTTCTCTATGTTCACCTGAAGTCCTATCTTCTCTGGATGCTTCTTCTGTCAACTTGTTGCTATTCACTTGCATATCTTTCAGATTGTGGGAAACCAGACATATATCATCGGTGAAGTCCAGATCCTCCAAATTTTTTGTGTGAGTCCATTTTATGCCTGTTTCCTCGTTGCCAGCTGTTTGTCGCATTATGCAGTCTGCTGCAATCAGGAAAATCATTGGCGATAGTAGACAACCTTTTTTTACTCCCGTCTTCACTTCGAAGGATTCCGTAAGTTGTACTACTTACCAAAAGACCAGACTACTCTATTCAAAGATCAGTATATCAGTTATCAACAAGGACTGGACAGTTTATCAACTTTCAGAGATTCCTTTGTTGAACTAAAAATTTGCAGCGTGCAGCTTAGCATCAAAGTGTGGCAGTTCAAGTTGACACAGTTCATATTAGCACACAAAGATAACGAAAAATAAAATTTCAAAGGGTCCACAATGAATGCAACAGTACGGCAGAAAGAATAAGCACATGAAGAAGAACAGTAATAAAAATTTGATCAATCTAGGAATTCAGAAGGAGTGTTAATACATGTGTGCTAGTGATACTGATTTAAAACTATGTCAATAACAGTCTTGAGCCATTAGTTCCTAGCGTTTCGAGACACATACCAAACAACAATTTATATCTCCTTATGTGGCTCAAACCAATGGTCACTGACTTCATCGATTGGCAATACTATTACCTAACTACCTGTCCTTATCCTCTGTTCAACGAAGAAGACAATGTCCTGACATGTATGACACGTGTCCGAGTGACCTCTGTCAATGGAATATCACAACCTAACTTGATCAACTTTCCCTACTTACTTTTAACTTTATTATTACTGAACGTATGATATTCATTATAATAAAAGTTTTTGTATTTCTCAATGAATGGAAAACAAAACGACACTGTTGTTTTTACTGACGTTTCGCTATTTAAGCTTGCTAATAGCTTTATCAAAGTATTATTAAACCGGAATTTACTAAATCTAAGCATATATATAACAAAGAGTTAGTGGGTGAGAAAATAGACTTAGGTAAAGTTAAAAGGGACATATTGGAAGTCAAAATAACAAGGAAGATCACTGAACCAAATAACAAAGGTAATAGTACATCTGTTATGATATCAAAATAAAGTTTACTAACTTGATCATCGTTCATCAGTCTGGGGTCATTTTTCGTTGTCAAGTTGGTCAATTGGTAAAGATAACAAAACCAAGTGTATATTGTTGGATTTGATCAGTGTGTAAAATTATAAAAGCAGTGTGTGTTTACCTAGTGAACTTGCTTATCACATTCGTGTTGATTTTGTCACTTCATGGGGGAGGGAGTTGCTGTAACCAGGTCAGATTCTGTTCTAGTCCATCATTCCTATTCAAACAACTTGGATTCCATTTGATCATATCAAGTGCTTCTGATGATATTAGACTTTCTTTGTGATTTCTGAATTGTTTAACTGGATTATTTGAATAATGTCAAACTCGATTTTGTGGCCTGATTCTATAGCGTGTAGACATATGGCTGATGATTTTTCAAGTTTTTCTAGTTCAACCGGATTTCTCGGTGGTGGAAGCAATGCTCAAAAGTGTTCATTTCTTCCGATATTGATTTCTCCCGATGTTTGTCCGATGTATATCGCATCACATTCCAAGCATTTTATTTTATAGACACAATTAGATAGAGAATCTTTAGGGATTTGGTCTTTTATATGGACAAGGTTGCTTTGTAGTGTGTCTGATGTTTTGAAGAAAACTCTAATGTTGAGCTGATTGAGTACTCTTCTGATATCGTCTGACGTCTCTGCTCTATATGGAATGACGACTGTTGAGGTCCATGTTTTCGGAATGCGTTTTCGGCCATACATCTCTTCATGCATTTATTCCTCTTGATAAATTTAAATAAAGCAAGAACAACAGCGGTTTGTGCAGAATAATATGGTACCATCATTTATTTCGTTGGCTTCTCATCAGCTGCTTACAGCCTAAATAAATTGTGAGGTTTACGTACAGAAAAGTTTTTTACATACTTGCAAATTTTACATGTTGTCAGTTGACAGAAGGTTCCACAGTAAGTGAACAGTGCTCAGAAAATTGCGCTTATATAGTTTTTTCACAGGCAGTTCAAGTTTAAACAAAATAGATGTATGCATACAATGGTAAAAGAGTTACGTAATAAAGACGAGAGGTGAGTAAGATGATGAGTAACTAATAAATTTGGTAACGATGTACTGAGTTCAAATCACGTCATAGAAACAAGAGACAAGCAATATTACAGATTTAAAAAAAAAGGAGGGGTGAGGTTAAAGACAAAGAATACGTAATCAGATTAGAGAATAAAGACATCCAGTTACCATGGCAAGGAAAGACTGATAACTGCTTCTTTCTGAACACATAAATCTGGTTTGAAGCGTTTGATAGAAATTGCTTCGGCAAACTTGAGGAGAATGGAGCTCCTTTGTCTATTGATATTTTTAAAGGATTTCTCGATTTCCACCTCATGACCCATGTCGAGGAGATGCCTGGCGATGGCACTGTTTAAAGAATTTGTTCCCTTTAGACGTAAGCTTTTTGGTACATGTTCAGAAAATCGTAGATATGCCCTTCTTTCTGTCCTTCCAATGTAACTGCTCCCGCAGATGCATGTAAATTTGTATATGCAGTTGGAGTTCACATGAGAGGGATATCTATCGATTTTTGATTGCACCAAAGAGCAAGTTGTTTGATAGACGGGAACGAGCTTGGCTGCAGGATAAGCTATAGCTAGTGATGTACTCAGCCTTCTGTTGATCATCGCTGTAATGTTTTCACCTTTATAATCAAGCTGAAAGTAGATTGGCTTTTTTTCCACTGTGATTTGTTTTACATTTTTGACTTCAGATCTTCCATACTTGTTGATGAACCTTTGAGGGTATCCATTTCTCTTCAGTGTCTTTTCAAGAAACTCAAATTCTTCCTCTAATTTCTCTATAGAGCATATTCTTCTCGCTCTATAGTACAGAGTCTTGACTAGACCGCGTTTAAAGCTATTTGGACAAAAGCTATTGAAATGTAAGTATTGTCCTTTCCATGTAGGCTTTCGATAAATTGACTTTTGAAGACTACCGTCTTCTAGGCGTTCCATGGCAATGTCGAGGAAGTGGAACTTTCCGTCACTTTCATGTTCCATAGTAAACTCAATATTTCTGTGTGCATCATTGAATAATCCGAGTAAGTGTGAAGCATGACTTTCATTGTTGCACACTATAAATGTGTCATCAACATATCGACAGTAGGAATTTGTTTCGTCGATTGCATGCTTCAACTTTGTTCTTTCAAGGTTGGACATGAATATATCTGCTAAAACAGGGCTAAGTGGACTGCCCATAGCTACACCATCTATTTGGCGGTAAAGAGTGTCGTCAAATTGGAATTGCACATCCGTTGTACACATAAGGAGTAGGCGTTTGAATTCCGACTCTGGGAGTGGAAGAAGATCAGACTGCTGACAAATGATCTCAATAGTTTCATTGATTGGAATCATTGTGAACAAGTAGGTTACGTCGAATGACACCATGAACTTATTTAAAACGTTCATGTGGTTCACACTTTCGGAGAAATGAAATGAGTATTTCATAGTGTGCACGCCTAGCCGTTGACGAATAGGTTCCAACTTCTCTGCAAGCCAACGTGCCACCTTATGTTGGGGCGAGTTGATCATCGAAAGTATGGGTCTCAGGGGGACTTGTTTTTTGTGTATCTTCAGATATTTCTTCTTCTTTTTCTTTCTCGTCGGTTATCAGAGAGTGTGAACGTATGATACTATTAAATACATGAGTTAGAACGTAAACATCTACTCGGTAAAGGCAGCTGGCCTTTTCAAGTTTTCTATTGTCAATAGCTAAAGCCATTCACAAGCGAAAAGAGTAAAGAAAAATTTAGTTGCACTTCATCGTTTAAAATAACTCTATACTTTTTTTATTCCTTCAAGGTTCCCAGTGGAACACAGGGCGGCTTCAAGCTAGAGGCTTGCAGTTTCGGTAGCAGTGGTGTTTATTTTTACGAGATGGGGTTGCCTTAGTCTCATGCCTAACCTTACGTCTTTATCAGCCCTTTATTACTGTTTTAGCGAAGTAAAGGAGTGCGTCCAGTGGTCGGGGATCGAATCCCGGACCACATGAGGGGCGTGGTTGGCGAGCATTATACCGCTGTGCCGCCGACGCACTAATGCTTATCAATTTCATATGAAAGTTAATTACTGATGAGTAAGTATATCTCCAATACATTTAAAAATATTTGTTAGTGAATAAGAAATATTCCTTTGGATAATTTCTTCAACAGGTTGTATAATTTTATATCTATATTAACTAAAGAGTAATCATAGTTGTTTGATTTACCCTTGATCATTACTTACACGGATATGTGTCTGTGGCTGTCAGGTAGAATGTTCACTGACTATGCATGTGGTCCGGATTTCGACTCCCGGCTGGCGCACATGGTAACCTCCCCTAGCCGGTAGTAAGTTTGACTTTGGTATGCGGTTAGCAATCTCATCCTGTAAAAAAAATCACCAGTCCCACTGGAACTTTAAATCTCAACCTTGAAATCCTATGTTCAACTTTTAACGCAAAGGAATAAAATAATAATGCACTAATTTTACATTGATGCACTCACAGATAATCTTCTATCCCATGTTTTTGATTATTACTATTTTATTTTATTATGTATTATTGTTTCCTTTAGTTCCTAGAGGAACACAGGACTAAAGTCACACGTCTTCATTGCGTTCGGTTCTCACCTGGCTCCACGTCTGTTCACATGCTTTCATCTCCTTTTCACACAACTTCCTCCATGTCACCCTTTCACTGACCACCAAATAACTCGCCACTTCCCATTCTGATTCTACTCCATCAATGGCCTGGCGTGTGATTTCACTTGATTGATGAATGTATAGTCAGGGCCGCAGGTGTCTTTAGAAGTTAATAATGAAGAAAACGTGGCTGACAAGTTAGCATGAATTCGACAGATAACTATCTCAAAATCATGGTCAGTGTTGGCAGAGTGACAGGAGTCGAGCAAGTGTTCTAGAATAGAGCTTTGCACACACTTCCTTTTTCTCTTGTAAGACCATGCTGGAATATGTTCTCGTATCCATGTGGAAAGCGTTCTCTGGCTACGGCCAATATACTTTGCTCCACAAAAGCAGTTGAGCTGATAGGTGCACATGGAGGCGACCAGACGGGGAAGGTTATCTTTTACAGAGATGGAGAAAAATTTGTAGCTGGTGAACATCATTTTTAATTTTGCAGCAAAGGACGTCTTATTGACTGATTTGAAGAGACGGCTTTTGAGCATATCTGAAGCCTGACAACCTTTGAATTCCAAATTCATGAATAAGGTTTTCTTTGGAACTGAGTCGGTGACCAGTTTGAACTGTTTATCACCTTTCGTGCTACTGTAAATAAATCGATTCTGGTAACCGTTTTCTTCGAGCCTGGCTTTTAGGAAGTCAATTTCTGTGTCAACGCAATCAGAACTACAAATATTTCTTATCCCTAAAGCAGAGCGAATGAATCAGGTTACCCGAACTGATTTATTTACAGTAACACGAAAGATGATAAACAGTTCAAACTGGTCACCGACTCAGTTCCAAAGAAAACCTTATTCATGAATTTGGAATTCAAAGGTTGTCAGGCTTCAGATATGCTCAAAAGCCGTCTCTCTAAAGCAGTCAGTAAGATGTTATTTGCAACAAAATTACAAATGACATTCACTAGCTGTTGGGTTTTTTCCGCAATGCCTGTACTGAACGTATTGAAATCGGCAAGAAACCATAAAGGGAAGGGGGAGGGAAAAAGAGAATATATATATTACAAGACAAACTGTGAAGCCTTGTAACCAAATTGACAGTAATTTATGTTCAAAATTGTTAGTACTGCACCATCACTGTATGGTATTTGAAATAAACTTATCTATATTTTAATTGAATTTTAGATTTTCCCGTCCACTGATTGATTGGACCGAAGTGCTCGGTCTCAGGTTGACACGTCAGCTTCTTGTGAAAATGCTTCGACGATGTCTGGGCATGTAATTAGAATTTAATTGGTGGATGGTGACTAGCAGTGGAATCCAGGATAACGCGCATTTTGTCCTATTTGGGACTCGTCAACTGGATGTACCTGCATTCCCAAGTGAGTGATGATGTTCCCACTGGGGCTCGAACCCAGTGACCATGTTTTCAAACTCCAAAGGAGGTTATCCACTAGACCACTTGGATTGCCCAGTTTGAAACTATAAACACTAGGTTCGAGCCTCGGTGGAAGCATCATCACTCACTGGGAAATGCACGTACATCCAGTGGCTGACGAGTCCCAAATGGGACGAAATGCGCTTCATCCGGGATCCCACTGTTAGTCACCATCCACCAGTTAAACTTATCTATAATATAGAATTACATTCCACCACAGCGCCCAATTTCTACACTTACATTAAGAATATTTTTTTCTTCAAGAAACAGTGTTTTAAAATTTATAACATACTTCCTCATTTTTAAAAAATAAAAGTACCTAAATTTTATTATTATTATTGCTGATATTGAACCATTTTTTCTTTTCTTTTTTTTGTTCGATAACTTACAATAAAGAGGAATCTCGTCTATTTTCTGTTGTTAATGTTTTGGATCATAGAGAAAAAATCCTCACTGTTGGTTCATCCAATCGGATAATGATTTACAGTAATCCAGACTATTATCTTAAATTATTTAAACCTCAGTATGATTTAACAATAGAAAGTGGACCAAAAGATATTCTAGAAAAATATGACCAACATTACTATATGCCAGCTAGACCAAGTTCAGTGTATACAAAGTCAGGCACAGTTAAAATTCGATCTATTATTAAAAGTGATTCTGTAATTATTATAAATACAACAAATATTGTTCATATTATTGGTAAGTAATGATGTAATGATCTGGAATTAGGCTGTTGTATCGTTGTCTTAATAATAATAATAATAATAGTAATGATGTAATGACTGAAAGCTAACAATAGTTTTATCAGTCGACTACAGGATTTCATTATGAGCTAACATTTGGAAAACCAGAATTGCAGTATTAGACAGCTAGGTGTTTCGTCAGCTTAGCTTTTGGCACTCTTCATCAGTACGCATCCAGCCCACTGTCAGGGTTCGAACCCAGGATCTTGCAGTTACAAGGAGAACTAGCCCGTAGACTATCAAAGGCACTGGCCAGTCCATGAATTCCAACTCCTACCAATTCACGGCATAGAGCGATTACTAGTGAGTGTCTTCGGGTAATATTTGTTCCCAAGCCCGACCTGTTTAATGACTCAGGGTTTCTGTGTGTTCTAGAGTATTGGTGAAAGCATAACTAGACGTATTTCTTCCAACAGATTGTTGAAGACTTTAATCAACAGTTAGCCGTACTTTCTCTTTACTGATGACCAGTTGGTCAACCAGAACGGATAATTGTACAACAATGAAATCCAGGTGAACACAGAGAGAAGATGGAAGTGATGAAGATACCCACGCACCACCACCACCACCACCAACAACAACAACAAGAACCAGCACCAATCACTACGTAAACGAGAGATATTTGAAAGACGTTACTTCATTGAGTTGTCTAGGAAGCACAGTTTCAACTACAGGTGTCAGCATGGATGACGATGTCAGAGGCAGAATCAGAAAGTCAAGACAGACCTCCATCAATTTTAAATCAGTTTGGAAATCTTCTGTACTCTTCCTCATGATAAAGAACAAGATTCGGATTCTTTCCACAAATGTGAAGTCAGTCAGTCACTTCTTCTATATGGATGAGAAACTTGCACTGTGCGTCACGAAAAGCATATCCAACAAGCAATTGCAAACTTTTATCAACAAGAATTAACAGCAAGAACCTCTGTGACCAAACAAGGCTCTCGATCAAGTGTAATGCTGACGGGAAATGCCATGTTGCATGTGAGTCCAAGGGTGAAATGGGGGAGGTCATGTGAAGAGGCGGTGAGAGATTATGGGCAATCGTTAGCCTAGATAAAGAGGACAGCATGAAATAGGAGAAAGTGAAGACGTTCTGTCGAAGTCCTGCCTTCTACTCATGACCCAAGGGAATAATAATTATAATATAAAGAACTCTGGTATCGAGAAAGACAACAACCTTTTAACCAATAAATATGCATAAAGAAATGAAGATGCATTTCACATACACTTTGAGAAGACGTTCAACAAATAATATTACACATCAGGCTTTGAAGTAGAACCCGAATTTGAAACGACCGACCAATTAGTCGTCCGAGGATTTATGAATAAGATCATGTGAGGTAGAGGAGATCAAAAGGCTGTGCAGGCCAGTCTTCTTAAAGCCACTTGAAAGTGACGGTAATGACGTGAACCTTATAGAGATGTGCCAGCACCTAAAGAATGAATTGTCAACAAATAGAAATGTTTGTAATGGATTTAACTATGACCTCGTTAACCGTATGAAATATCAGAATTAAAATCCGACTCAGCGGAAGAATATTGAGTTAGTATGTTATAGAAATATCGATAAAGAGTTATCGAAGTTAATGGTTACTTGGAAATACAGTTATAGACCAACTGCTACAAATTAATAATATAATCCACAGATCCATCTCACTGCTGGGATTGTGTTCACCAGTAGACGTTGTTTACTGATTGTTGTGAATAGTCTTCGGAAGAGGATGAGATGTTTGATGCAAATTCCAAAGAATACAACAGGGACAGATTAGCGGAGCAAGGGGACAGTAGGAACCAGTAAGAAGATAAAGTGACCAACATTACACCTATACATATATATTTTACAAAGAAGTCGTTTTAAACAAAAGTTATGTACAATCTGTCCATTTGTAACATCGGACAAAAAACTGTGTAGTTTTACTGTTCATGACTACATATGTTATAATTTATATATAATTTTATTATGTAAAAATTTTACAAAAACGTGGCCTTTGACTAATGATAAAACAATAACATCATTCAAGTGTTGTTTCGCACCCACCTCACTGCCAGAGTTCGAATCCAAGACCTTCTGGTTACAAGGTGAGCCCGTAGACCATTAAGCCACTGTGACTTGGCTCTTCAGTGGCCTCCAGCCCATGAATTCCAACTGCTACCGATTCACTCACATTATAGCGCGACTGGTACCAGCTAATGATATTACTGACGAGTATCTCTCCCCACACCCGACCTGTAGAAATTAAAATTCATGGACTAGAGGCTTCTGAAGGCCCAGTGGTCATGGGTTCGAACCTTGGTAATTGAGTGAGTTCGTGCTGGTGATGAGTCCCAAACTACGTTGATGAAAGATTTGACTTTCCAGTAGTCGAGTGCTGATGTCAGCTCATGATAAAATCCTATTATTTAATATCATACTTCGCCGATGATAGATGTCTGATTTCCCATAAACTGGAAGATATGCAAGCGAAAAGCAACAAGTTGGCTGAAGAAGCATCAAAGATAGGACTTCAGGTAAACACAGAGAAAACAGAGGTAATGAAAATTCCTGGACATGAACAACAACAACAGACAACAATCAGCATAAATGGGGGGAATATAAAAGAAGCAACCTCCTTTACCTACCCACCTACCTGGGAAGCATCGTTTCAACTACAGGCGGATTCGACTGATGAGGATATCAAAGCAAGAATCGGAAAAGCAAGACAAGCTTTCACTACTCTCAAGTCTGTGTGGAGGTCAACAACACTCAGCATCAAAAATAAGATCCGGATTTTCGACTCAGTGCTACTATACGGATCAGAGACTTGGCCAGCGCGTCATAAAGAGCATCTCAAACAAACTACAGACCTTCATTAACAGTTATCTTCGCTCAATACTCAAGATCAGATGGCCGGTCAGAGAAGATCAGCAACAGAGATCTCTGGCGATGAGCGAACCAACCAGGAACCGATTGTGAAACAAATAGGCAGGAAGAAATGGAGATGGATTGGCCATACTCTGAGGAAACCATCAAGTGAGTGACATCACTAGACAAGCCACTGCTCGAGTGGAACCCGAAAGGGAAGCGGCGAGTTGGTCGTCAGTGCAAGGGTGACTTGGAGGAGGTCATGTGAAGAGGAGATGAAAACGTGTGGGCAGACTTGGAGCCAGGTGGAAACTTTAGCAGAGAACCGAACGCAATGGAGATGCACGGCTGAAGCCCTATGTTCCTCTAGGAATTAAAGGAAACAGTAATAATAATAAATATAATTTAATATCATTCTTACACTTTCACTACTAATGTTATCGATTAACATTTTGCCTTTTCTTTTTCTCACCTCTAAATAAATCAAGATTTAGAAAGAAAAGGTACATTAAATGGTATTGATAGTTCAGATATAATTGCTCCTATTGGTTCAAATAAAATATATAAATGTGGCATATTACAAGGAAAAACACGACAATATCGATCAGAAGGTTATTGGACAGGACGTATTGTCTATTCATCATCCAATCTGTTGAATGAAATCATTTCATTAGATTTAAGTAATAATGAAGTTGTAATACGACCACCGTATTGTGAATTATATTATAAAATTAAAGGCAATGTAACAATTGAATGTACCTACAGATATGTCAGATATGAAATAGAATTTATATTTAATAAAACAATAAGTATTATAGGTAAGTTTACCTTCTTCAAAGTGTGTGTGGTAATATTTTGTTTGATTGCATGGAGGATTTCATCATGAGCTGACATCAGTTAGAGAACCACTGGAAAAAACCTGAGAGTACTGGACAGCTGTTTCGTCCTAGTTTGGGACTCTTCATCAGTACGCACCCACCAACAAGGTTCGAACCCAGGACCTTCTGGTTTCAAGGCGAGCTAGTCTACGAGCTAGTCCACCTTGTAACCAGAAGGTCCTGGGTTCGAACCTTGTTGGTGGGTACTGCGTACTGATGAAGAGTCCCAAACTAGGACGAAACAGCTGTCCAGTACTCCTAGGTTTTTCCAGTGGTTCTCTAACTGATGTCAGCTCATGATGAAATCCTCCATGCAATCAAACAAAAATCCCTACAAAACCAATACTTGAAAATATTTTGTTTCTCTTCTAAAGGCTGATTTATGTTACGGGTGGAACAAAGGGGAAAACGTGTGTGCATGCGGGGTCGGAGGGGTGGTTTCAAGCCTTGAGCCTCTGAAGTTTCAGTAGAAGTGGAGTTTGAATAAAGCGAGAACAACAGTTTCTGCAGGATAAAATTCTACCATGTTTTATTTCGTTAGCTTTTCATCAAACTGATGACGACACCATCGAATGATCAAGTGGGCTTCAGTTCTCAATTTTGAAATCAGAGATTCTGTTAATTCAATGTGTGATTTCGTAATACATCGAAGATTTTTGAGAGATGTCGAAGAAAGCAGTGGGACTGCGAGCATTCATCGTAAAACTTCATTCAAGTCACTTCTCTGGATATTCTGCAAGGAACTGTCACCTAGTGATTCAGTGATTTGAGAAAATTCTGCAGGGAGGCGATTATTCAAAAATTCCATCGCCATCTCATCAAGTCACTGAGTACTTGCAAGTTACCACCATCTCTCAAAAATCTTTCGCGTATTGTGCATCGGTGGCACAGTGGTTAGGACTCTCGCCGACCATGCACATGGCCCGGGTTTCGACCCCCTGCCGGCGCACACCCGATATCTATGGTCGGCCTGCAAAATTTGGGCTACCGATATCCGTGCTGAAAATTCCATAATTGTACCTAAAAATACGGTGTGGCATTAAACTGTAATCAAAAAAATATAAAAATATAAAATATAAAATAAATCGCTAACTGAATCAACAGAATCTATGATTTCAAAATTGAGAACTGAAGCTCTCACAATCCTTAGATGGTGTCGTCAATAGTTTGATGAAAAAAAGCTAACGAAATAAATGATGGTAGTGTTTTATTCTTCAAAAACTGTTGTTCTTG